GTGTTTTCATGCACGTATCTGTGTGTATGGAAGCAGGGGACAGGGGTGGCTTTTGGGGATAAGAAAGCAGTTGTCTAGCTGTTGAAAGAACCCCCACAGAGCTGGGGATTAGGATCAGAGAGTCCCCCCACTTCAGGGCCATCTCTGGCCTGGGAGGGGCAGGACTTCCTCGGATGTTCCCCTTCACATTGCCTCGCCCCTGCCCATCGCTGCGTTGTTTTCTGTGGGCATGGTTCCATCTCTGCTGGCTGTTTCTCCTCTCTTCTCTGCACTGGTTTCCTCTCCTTCTAGGCTGCCTTTGGAAGCTTCTATGCACTTGCCCTGACTCCTGTTTGCCCCCCTCCTGCTGGGCCCTCTTACTGTCCTGGGGGCTGGGAGTGGGGAGTCAGCCCTGGAAACCCTTGCCTCCACCCCCGCAGAACCCCCAGCCTGAGGACCTAGACCCCTCACGTAGCCCAGAAAAGCTGGTGTCTCATCTTGCCAGGGCCAAGAGGCTTGACAGTACGATGTCACAGGCCCAAGGAGAGCGGTCCACACCTGTTCTTTTCCTCTGGCTCTCCTTAACATAGGAGAAGTTAAGCCTTGGAGGCCATGTGGGAGCCGAAATATAACAGGCCAACTGATGTGGGTGTGACTCTCCCCTTAGCCACACGGTGGCTGTTTTACTGTGAGCAAGTTACGCAGCCTCTCTGAGCCTCAGTGTCCAGCTCCATAAAACGGAGCCAAAAATGCCCATCCAAATGGTGTTCTTGCAGGTATAAGAAAACCAAGAAAGGGAAAGGATCCAGCCGAGTGTACGAAACAAGCAGGATCAGAATAGATTTTAGCATCTTCCCCTCTGTTTTTCTGCAACAGCCATGCCAGAGCCTTGGGGAAGTTCTAGCAATGGGCAGAAGCTGGATGCTCTATCGCCCAGATATGCTGTGAAAACCCCACCTTGCCTGCTGGCTGCTGGGAGGAGGGAGGAGAGAAAGGTGGTCTCTTCCTCCAGGATGGTGATCTGGGCCCAGAGGCTTCCACTCAGCACAGTAGTGGGGCTTCCCTCAACCAGTGCCCTGAGCAGCTTAATCTGGGGTGAGAGTGCCTTTCACTTTGTTCATGGCAACTCGGAGACCCCAACCTATACCTCTAAGGTGTTAGGACATTCATTACCTCGTCTGTCAAGTGGGGCCCCCTGGCCCTTCAGCACCTGTGATTATCTGCACTCAGGACAGTTGTAGGTATGAGCAGCGGCAGGAACAGTCTGGAATCTGGGGTGATGGGACGTTGCAGAATCTTTGCCTTTGGATATGCCCAGCCTCGCGGGGAAGCGAAGAGACTTACTGCATGAAGAGATTAGAGAAGGACTTCAGAGCCCCTTCAGCCAAGGGCAGCTGAGTCATGGGCTGATCCCTACCAGGCCTAGTCCTGACGGACAGGGCTATGGCCAGGAGGTCCAGGAGGCCCTCGAAGGAGGCAGGGCGTCTCTCAGGAGCACCTCAGTCTGTGCTTTCCACACTGTCCCGTGGAGCCCAAGGCCTGAGTAGGAGGAGGGGGTGGGTTCAGGGCCACGCCATTAAAGTTATAACCAGATTGGGAGCCAGGTCCTGGAGGAGGTTTGGATGGACACAGAGAGGGCATCCCGGGGGTGGGGATAGTAAGTGCAGAACTAGAGGGGGGACAGCGGATGCCCCGTGGGACACTGGGGCTAACTGAAGAGGGGCTGCTCCTGCCGGGCCTTGCCCTCCAGCTACAGGCAGCAGGACTCGGAACAGGTGGGCCCACGGCGACTGAGTGCCGTCTGTGTGCGGGCTCCGGGGGTGTCTTTCAGTAGCTGGTGTCTGGACCCTAAGGAAGTAGGACTGCAGGGATCACCAGTTTTGCCCGCCTTCCCTGTTCCATGTTGCATTTTACAGACGGGAAGCCCAAGAGGCCAGGCCTCGCTCCGCAGCCGGAGGGGAGGGGACACCGCGTGTCCTGGCCTCTGCTCCATCCAGTGGCCATAGGCTGTGGAAGAGGCAACTCGCCTTTCACCTCCACGGCCCCAGCTCCTTGGGTCTTTGGAGAGGAAACAGGTTGCAGCCTCACCCGCCCTTTCAGCCAGCCGGCGAGCAGGACTCCTGGCCCTCAGGCCTGGCTGTGTGCCCTCTCCTGTGCCCCTGGGCCTCTCTGGGCCTCAGTTTCTCCATCTGGAACACGAGAGTGGCCGAGTCAGCTGCCTGCTCTGTCCTTTCAGCTCTAAGGTGGTGTCATCTTGAACCGGGGCTGGGGGAAGGGAGCTGGAGCAGCCAGGAGGGCCAGGCCAGGGCACACTAGGGGTGAGAGAGGCTGTGAGGAGCTCTGACCTCGCTTCTCTGACCTGAAGCTGCTGGTGCAACACAAGCTGTGAGCGCCTGAGCTGGTGGGTGGGGGCGTCAAGCTGCCAGGGACGGGACAGGCTGCTCAGAGGCCTCTGGCTGCCCAGGGACACCCGCGGGGTCACCCGTGGGCAGGACGGTGTGGCCACAAACGGGGGAGAGGCTGTTCAGGGTGTAATTAATGTACTTTCTGGCACCCACCAAACTTCCCCTTCCTCTGGACAGTCTGCTACCAAAACAGTCCCGATTCCTGTGGACTAGCTTAAATCTTCTCCAGAGGGGGGTGGCAGGGGGAGGGGAGAAAGAAAGAAAA